AGTTTGATAATAAAACAATACAATTAGGAAAAAAGTAGATAAATATGTCAAAAATAAAAACATTTGTTTTTCCATAAATGCTTGAAACTTGGAGAGAGTTGCCATTGTGACCACACAATACTGACGCCAAAATGGCAGACGGTGTTAATATTTCATATTGGTAGGAAGGACTTCCTATGGAGTAAGGAGCAAGAATGAAAGAAAAAAGAAGGAAGAAAATGAAATTAAGGCCGAAGAATGAATAAAAAACCCGGGGAAATTAGTAAACGGGAAGATATTCAAACTGCAGTGAAAACGATAAGTGAAAACGATAAAGAAAAGCAAGAAGAAAAAAGAAGAAATTTGTGTGTGATACAAGTACGATTGGAAAAGTTAGAAGAAAAAGAAGCCATAAAATAAATACGGAAAAGAAAAATTTACAAATAAGCGTGGAAATGAAAGAAAGAAAAAACGCAAATAAATACAGGAAAGAAAGAAAGAAAGAAAATTTGTAAATAATTACAGAAAAGAATTATAGAAGGGGAAAAATACGAAGATATTAAATAAGGATAAAAAGTAACAAACAAATAAACAAAAATCATAATCGAATGCGGATAAGAAATAAACAAATAAAAATAGTCAAAAATACGGAAGAGAAAGAAAGAACGAAAGAAAGAAAGAAAGAAAGAATGAATGAAAGAAAGAAAAGGGGAAAAAACTAGACATTAAATAAGGATAAAAAGAAAGAAAGAAAGAAAGAAACAAACAAACAGAAAAATTACGAACAAATGCTGAAAACAAACAAACAAACAAAGAAGAGAAGGGGAGAAAAACAAGACATTAAATTAGGCTAGAAAGAAAGAAAGAAAGAAAGAAAGAAAGAAAGAAAGAAAGAAAGAAAGAAAGAAAGAAAGAACGAATGTATATCGAGTAAGAAAGAAAGAAAGAAAAAGAAAGGGCAGAAAAACAAGACATTAAATTAGGCTAGAAAGAAAGAAAGAAAGAAAGAAAGAAAGAAAGAAAGAACGAATGTATATCGAGTAAGAAAGAAAGAAAGAAAAAGAAAGGGCAGAAAAACAAGACATTAAATAAGAATAAAAAGGAAAAAGAAAGAATGAAAAACGAATGAAAGATCATGACCAAATGCTGAAAAGAAAGAAAGAAAGAAAGAAAGAAAGAAAGAAAAGAAAAATATGACATTAAATGAGGATAAAAAGAAAGAAAGACTGTAAAAGAACGAAAGATAATGAACAATGTAGAAAAGAAAGAAAGAAAGAAAGAAAGAAAGAAAGAACGGAAGTAAGGGAGGAATAAAGGAAAGAAGAAAATGTTAAAATGTAAAGAAAGGAAAAGACAAAAGTAAAGAAAGCAAAGACGGAAATATAACAATGATTTTTATATAAAGTCTGAAACAAATTTTAACAAAAAGGACAAAAAAAAAACCGAATCTAAAAATGTAAAGAACTCCATCGTTAAAGGGGAAGGAATGGAAGAGAAGAAGGTCTGGAGGGGGGGGCGAATGTCAGTAAAGTGTGGGGGAGGGGCCATGGTTGGTGTCACTTTCATCACTTCTACTGACAGCAAGTTAAAAAGCCAACATAATTCCTGCTCTGATTGACATCGGTAATTTTAAAGGAGACGGAATTGGATCTTTATGGCGTCAGGGGTTAATATTTTAAAACATTAACAATATGTTTGCGACAGCTGTTTGTAACACCCCCATTTACAACACAAATCCACTATGCAACATTTACAACCGATTGTTTTTAGTATTTTTTCAACATTTGCCCTTTTCTGTCAAAGTACAAAAAATCACTGAAGAACATGATAGTTTTTTAATTCATGAGACCACTTCAGATTATGTAAAGACGAGGGAAGCCGTTTAATAGAATCACGAATAATAAATATTATAAAATGTTTTTTTTTTTATTGTCAAAATCCCTCGGTCGCCTTATTTAAAATTAATTAAAAAATCATTTCAACTCAATAATTTTCATATTATTTTTCGACAACATTATCCATGCCCTAAAATAATGACGATTCTCTTTAAGTTCTTACGTGTTTATACATTGGCGTGGAATTTGCGGAAACTGTAACGATTAACAACTTGGAAAAAATAAAGTGGAAAAAGTGCCTGAATGTCTTGGTGTTATTTATCGAAAATTTCGGAATAAATGAACAGCGTTAAACAAATTTGTATAAACAAATAATATATGTTTATTTATTTGACTGATTAGAGTGAATCCTTTGTAATTCATGGTGGCGAAAGTTCATTTGGCTCGGTGGTTAATAGTTTACATATCCGACCTTGATAGCAGTCGAGAGTGTGTGTTACTTTGGAAACTTGTTGAGCATGTCAATCTGTTGTGTTTTCTCGCCCCTCGGATGGACAGAAAAATGTCTTAAGCAGATGACCGCTTAACTTCACGCGACACGACTAGCTGCCCGTCAGCTTTCTGTTTATATATATTAAGCTATCGAAACTTGGTTTCGGCTAACATCAAATTCAAAAGACTGTATTTTTATTTTGTTTTGTTTTTGGTTGGCCAAAATTCATTTATTTTCTGATATTCCTCTCTTTTTCATTTTCTTTTTTTTTTTTTTTTTTCTAACAAAAGTTATGCGTGGAGCCGTTCTTATTTTGGTAGAAATTCGAAGCGGCGTTCAGCCTTTTCTTCGTCGTCTTCTCTATTTATTTGAAGATTACCTTCTCATCGGTTGAGAGAGAAATATATAATGAGAAGAGAGAGAGATAGAAAGAGAGAGAGAAAGAGAGAGAAAGAGGGAGAGAGAAAGAGAGGGAGAGAAAGATATGAGTTTTAAAGGAAAGCAAACGCCTTCTTTTAATTTTAATTCTTTATTATTTTTTATTTTTTACTTTATATACAGGGTAACCAAAAAAGTTCTGTCCGTTTTTAAAGGAAAAAAATAAAATGCTTCACAGTATGTGTAACTTATATTTAGTCTTCGAAGTAATCGCCATCGGCATCCAGCATCTTCTGCCAACGTGTCCCCAGTTGTTCAATGCCCTTGCGGTAGAACTCAGGGCGTTTTGACGCAAAGAAGTCTGTAAGGGCTTTGCACAAGTCTGCTTCATTTGTGAAGGATTTCCCACGAAGGTGATTATCCAGGGAGTGGAAGAGGTGATAATCGGATGGCGCAAGGTCAGGTGAATAAGGTGGATGGCACAAAGTCTCCCACCCAAGTTGCTGTATGGTATCCCTGACCACTCGCGCGATATGCGGCCTGGCGTTGTCATGGAGGAAAAGCACGCCTTTGCGATTCACCAGTGCTGGATCCTTCTGGCGCAATGCCTGTTGCAAACGTTTCAATTGCTGCGAGTATAGGTCTCCAGTGACCGTTTGCCCGTTGGTAGCAGTTCATAATGAACCACTTGACGACCTGTCCACCAGACACAAAGCATAATCTTGCGTGGGTGCATAGGCGGTCTTGCAGTGTGAGGAACAGCATCCTGAGGAGACAACCAATGTCTGGAAGGCTTGGGAGTTACGTACAGAACCCACTTTTCATCACTGGTAAGCACTCGATTGAATAAGGATGCGGTACGGTGGCGAGAAAACAGCGATACGCAGGCTGCCACTCGTCGTCCCTTGTGGACCTCCAACAGCGTTTGCGGAACCCACTTGCTCAGTTTGTACGTCTTACCCAGGCGGTGCAGGTGAAGTCTAACTGTTTCATCGGAAACGTTGAACTGTCTTGCAAGTTTCCCACACGTTAGACTACTGTCCTCTTCAATGACCGCCTTCCGAGGCTCATCATGGAGAGACAAATCTCCCGACTTGAATTTACGAAACCAACGCCTTGCAGTACGTTCATCCACAGCACTATCCCCAAACGCTTGACATATGCGGCGACTTGGTGCAGCTGCTGATAAGCCCACTTTGAAGTCGTAAAGCAAACAGACCCGAACGAGATCTCTAGGCACTTCCATCCGTCTCACAGCTGTCCAGCTTATAACTGATGGCCGGACACGGTGCGCGTGTTTTTTATAACGTCTGATGTTCCTACTTCCGGCTGTCCGAATTTGAAAACAATTGCTACAAGCATTTCCTATATATTTCAACTTCATTCAATGACTATTCAAAAAACGGACAGAACTTTTTTGGTTACCTTGTATTTTATTTTCATATTTCATTTATTTATATTTGATGCGTGGGCGTCGGATTTGCGGAAAGAGTAATGATTAACGAGCCGGAAAAAATAATCGGCTAGTCGAGTTGAAATTTTCAGCCGAATTCGTTACATTCACTGTCGCACGAAGGCATGAATTCAGGTTTTCTATCCACTCCACCACTAAATATAGGTTAAATGGCAGGTTAGCCGTGGTTGGCAACCAGTCCAGGTGAAGGATTTTTTTAAAGATTCAAAACCTGTTATGTAACTCTGGTGAGGCGGTGCGTTCTATTCAGCCATTGAAAAGATCACAGAGTTGACAATTAAGTGCGGCTCGATTGAAATCGGATGAAAGAAAAAAAAAACAAAGGCATGTGTCTTGAAATATATATTCCAATTATTTTATCTCTAATTATTTTCGGGAGTGGGGAGAGTCCTGTGATTTAATAGTTACAGAAAACTGATCCCTCACTTTATGTTCAGTAGAATCTTATATAAATACTATTTTACCGAGACCGTCAAAAATGATGAGAAGTAACAGTTACGTAATTCTCGGGAGATCAGTTTAATACTTAATAAAAAACCGATCCCCTACTTTATGTCCAATAGAATTTTATATTAACACTATGTTGCCCATGCCTTCAAAAATGATGAGAAATAAAAATAATCCTCAGGGGATCAGTTTAATACTTAATAACAATAAAAAAAATCGATCCCCCATTTTATGTCTGGGAGAATCTTATATTAATACTATAAAAATGACGGTGTATTTTGGTAAATCCTTATTACCTGAGACCCACCCTCAGTATCCAGGGCAGCTCTGTGCGGTTTATCCATCCTTTGTAAGTTATCTCAAGCCGAAATATATTTCGGATTCTTGAAAGTTGCTTACAGTACCCGATGTTTTCAAGTAGTCCGCCACGTAAGTACTGATCGGGTTCAACTTTGCTTAACTTCAGTGATCGAATGAGAACACATGTTTTCAGAGTGATCTGACCAAATGCGATTAACGAGGGAGTTCAATCCGAAAGATATAATCGAAATTTCTAGGACACATAATGAGGAAAGAGGAATTGGAAAATTTGATACTCACAAGGAATATTGAAGAAGAAAGTACCGACTAAATTAGCTAACAAGCATGTGTAAAGGAATGACAGAACAGGGTGAAAAGATAAAACCTTACTAAGAGCTACAAAGGATAGGAAGTTGTGAAGAGCTATGATCACACACATCCTGAAGGGACACAGCACAGAGAAGAAGAAGATATCAGCGTGGAAAATTGTATCCGTGTCGATCACGTGTCGCCGTAATCCATTGGTGTGTTTTGGGCACGATAGTCTGACGGAGCCCAACCTTCTCCAGGTTGGTTTCAATAGAGAGTTCTTCTTCTCCTAGCCAGGTTGCCAACTAATGTTATAGGCCCCCAGTCTATCTTGCTATTTATCTATAACTGAGGGAGAAGAGAATGATTCTTACCTTTCCCAAGAGTATTTGCGCGTAAGTTAATGTAACAAACCCGAGTGGAATTCGAACTCAACTCTCCGGTTTCTTATTTCGTTACACCACCGCGCATCAATGTACCGACTTCAAATTCAGACCGAATCTATTCATTCCGCACTAATACCCTTGGAAAAGGCATGAATCTAGCTTTCTTCAGCTATTGGGTTAAATAACTGGACCGACTTTCCTACGAAAAAGAAGACTGACATCAAATCCCGACTATGTTGTACGTATCTCCAGGAGGAGGAACGACGAAGTAAATTATACACGAACCCTTTGGTCAACTCCTAATACGGTAGAATGGCATACTATATCATCTTCTAGTAATTCCTGCAGCTGTGCCGGTGCCAAGGTAAAACAATAGTTTTACCTTTACTTTGGTCTCTCCCAGCAATACTGAGAAAAAGCTTCTAACCCTAACCCCAGCCAAATTTTCTTCATAGACCCGCCCACGCCCGTATCCCTCTACAGTACATCATAATCTCCAGAGACAGATTAATGTCAGCCTAACGCAAGTATTGTCTCAGATAATATAAAATGACTTAATACAAGGAATCTAGTAACAAAGAATCTTGATTCATTTTAGATAATTATTGTTACGGAAAAGACTGTGTTAAGGATTTTCACAATAAGTGGCTTCCTTATTATCAAGAAATATTTTGGATACGTTTAATGAACTATGAACGAAGAACATTTACCATTCAAATGTTAATAATTTAATAATTTTGTTTCTGATTGTATAGCGCCAAGTGATAAGGAAAATGAACTCAAGAAGATAATTGTAATATTAGTCATTTCCTTATAAGGAAACATTCGGTAGTCACTGACTAATCAGCCAGTGTTACTCTTGGTTGAAATGTATAAAATCTTTCTAGTGAAACAATTTTTCAAGAAAAATAAATTTCTCGTGTCCACTGTTACCAGTATCTCCAGTATTGATGGGGTTTTCCTTCCTAACCTATTATTTGATGCCGTGTGGAATATCAACACCTTGATTATGTTGTTATTCTCTATTCGTGTTACACTTGCTATACATTTTAGTTGTTATCACGCTGTAAGTCAAAGAAAAAAAATCCTGAGTGTCTTGGCAAAGATCATCCTTCTTTGATGTGGATGTGTTGTACCAAATGTCATCTGGTACAGTTTTTGTTTGTGATTGTATAGCGCCAATCCACGATGTTCGAAGAATGATGGTCGTCGCCAGAGGCTCCATTTGCTTGACACTATTCTTAATCATATTTTTAATCCAAATGAAAGTTTCGATTTGAAGAGGCTATTTAACAACATGACTGAATTTTTTAGGTTAATGTTTTAGTTTTATATCAATTTATGCTGTTGGGCAAAACGACATCTACCGCAGTATTGTCTATGTTCAATAAACTACATCTAACAACAAGGCATCTGATCAGGAGGTTTTGAGGAGTGTCTTGAGATCACCTTCTTGAATTACTGGTGTACAGAATCACAAACAAAGGCTGTACCTGACCCAGAGTGGTAGCACCTGGTTCACATGGGTCCCAGCTATGGGCAACTTTAGTTAACCCCCAAACAAGAATCACAAACAAAGTGCCATAACACTATGAAAGTGTGAAAATAGGTTTTAAAACCAGCAATACATTTTGTAAAAAATTGTTACACAAGCAATGAATTTTTTTAAGAAAAAATTATTACAGCAGTACATTTTTGAAAAAAATATTACCAGCAATACATTTTTAGGAAAAAAATATTACAGCAATACATTTTTAGAAAAAAAATATTACCAGCAATAAAAATCTTGTCGGCTTTAAATAACCTATCGAGGTTGATATGCGGTAAAACAAACCAAACCAAACCAAATCTATGTTCAATTTCCTCGTCTCTTATACTAAATTTATTATAAGTGACTCATCAACTAAAGACAGGTTTCGTTAAGCCTACTTTTCTCCAACACCATTTAAAGTGACAAAATCTTGACATGAAAATTCGAGACATATTCTTAAAATGCTTGCTCAGATCTAGACATTGATATGGATATCATTTATGACGTCTAATTGTTTAAAAATGTTTCATGCGGGTCGTCGGCTGCATGCTGCTCACCGACTGTATGCGGATCATCCTTCTTTGAACCTTGTGGACTGGTGCTACAGAATCACAAACAAAGGACGGTCTGCATGCGGCTCGCGATCTACATGCGGCTCGCGGTCTGCATGATCATCCTTCTTTGAACCGGTGCTAAAGGACATGCAGAATCACAGTGAACAAAACAGCAGCAACAACTAAAATGGATATCACAAATCAAAAGAGAAAATAATGTCTGAACATGCTCGTGGTCTGCCAAATAAGAGAAACGGCTCTCTGTTTCAACAGCAGCAAATAACTAAAATGGATGCGGCTCACAGTCTACATGCGGCTCACGGTCTGCCTACGGCTCGTCTGAACATGCAGCTGATATCACATGTAGAACGGAAAGTGTCTTGGCAAAGATCTGCCTACAGCTCGTCGGACTGCATGCGGCTCACCATTTGATCTTTTGAATAGCATGGATATCACTTAGTTAATGAAGTGCATGTCTTGGCAAAGTTTCTCATACATAACCACAGAGATAAATAATATTTCTTGAATTTTGTAAACTTTCGGTGAAAGTAACATTTTCATCATTCTAAACAATTAGCAATTTTCACTAAGGAAGATCATAAGCGTAAACATAATAATGTTTTCGCTAAAGAATAAATATGCCTTTATTTTCAAATGAATTAGAAATAAGTAACACCAGCGACATGTGTTAATCAGTAATAATATTATACCTAATTCTTCAGCTATCCCCCAGAAGGAATACTCTAAATTCTAAATCATGACGAAGGCAACAAAAATTCTAAATCTTTCTCAACAATAATCATATGAAATGCAGCTGTGTCCACAATGGAACATGATATTGATAGATTGGGGAAGATGTTGTGGTGTTACAAGCATCGACCGGCAAGAAATCTCCAATTTTAACACTTACGATCATTCGTAAGATCTTTTCCATCATGTGCACTTATCAGAGATTTATTTGGACTAGCATTTGAACTTTCTTAAATTAAAATCATAATATACTGAAAGTTTTGCTTCCTTCGTCAGTGTTACATTCAACAAACAAGAATTGCGCCAAGTTTGCCAATAGAACATGTCTAAACTTTTAGCTGTATACAACCGATTTCTCAGATCAATGATTAAAAATGGCTTCCAGCAAATGAACCATTTAGGTCTTGAAGAGAACCATTTATCATGAGATCGCATAGTATGTCTCTAAAGAATCAAAAACAAAGAACTATACCAAATAACAGAAACCACATCACTTGAGGACTTTCAACAGCAGCAACAACTAAAATGGATATCACATGTAAGTCAAAGAGAAAATAATGAAGAATAAGAGAGAAACCCATCAAATCAGCAGCAACAACTAAAATGGATGTATCACCTGAGTGTCTTGGCAAAGATCATCCTTCTTCTTTGAACCTTGTGGACTGGTGCTACAGAATCAAAAACAAAGAACTGTACCAAATAACAGAAACCACATCACTTGAGGACTTTCAACAGCAGCAACAACTAAAATGGATATCACATGTAAGTCAAAGAGAAAATAATGAAGGCTGAGTGTCTTGGCAAAGATCATCCTTCTTTGAACCTTGTGGACTGATGCTACAGAATCACAAACAAAGAATTGTACCAAATAACAGAAACCACATCACTTGAGGACTTTCAACAGCAGCAACAAGAGAAAAATGGATATCACATGTAAGTCAAAGAGAATCACAAAAAATAATGAAGGCTGAGTGTCTTGGCAAAGATCATCCTTCTTTGAACCTTGTGGACTGATGCTACAGAATCACAAACAAAGAACTGTACCAAATAACAGAAACCACATCACTTGAGGACTTTCAACAGCAGCAACAACTAAAATGGATATCACATATAAGTCAAAGAGAAAATAATGAAGCCTGAGTGTCTTGGCAAAGATCATCCTTCTTTGAACCTTGTGGACTGATGCTACAGAATCACAAAAAAAGGACTGTACCAAATAACAGAAACCACATCACTTGAGGACTTTTCAGCAGCAACAACTAAAATGGATATCACATGTAAGTCAAAGAGAAAATAATGAAGCCTGAGTGTTTTGGCAAAGATCATCGTTCTTTGAACCTTGTGGACTGGTGCTACAGAATCACAAACAAAGAACTGTACCAAATAACAGAAACCACATCACTTGAGGACTTTCATCAGCAGCAACAACTAAAATGGATATCACATGTAAGTCAAAGAGAAAATAATGAAGCCTGAGTGTCTTGGCAAAGATCATCCTTCTTTTGAACCTTGTGGAATGGTCAAAGAAAATAATGAAACCTGACAAAGATCATCTTCTTTGAGGACTGGTGCTACAGAATCTGCAAACAGCAACAACTACAAATGGATATCACATATAAGTCAAAGAAAAGAATGGCAAAGAAATCCTTCTTTGAACTTTTACTACAGAAAAATCTA